TTTTTCTCTAAATAGTCCACCATTCTATTTCTCTCATGCAATGGATTGTTGCTGAGATATAAAACTTGTGGATTCACCTTTATAAATGTATTCATTATTTTTAGAACTACTTTATATTCTAACCGATTCCCAGAATCATTTCGTTTGATTTTTGACGAATAAATTAAGAATGATATTTGAAACTACCTTATGAAATACGCGGTGAGGTATAAGGGTATAAAATTAAGACCAAATTTTAAAAAAAAAATATACATTGTAACCAGCCCCTTTTGTGTCATTTAGCGCAATAAGAATCTGAGTGATGTGCTCTATTCTTATTAACTAATTTTAAAATCCCTTTAACATATATGCAAATAGACACCTGATGAAGTGGATTTGCAGATAAATGATAAACTAATCTAAATCGTAAAATTCGTACAAGTATACGCAATCATTTTCAGACAAACAATGTGTCGAGTGACTTGTCAGATGGAAGCCAATTTCTTTGAAAAGAAAATTGTCCACATATGTTTCCTGTTTGCTTCTTAACGTCAAAGTGTAACAAGCTAATTCAGAGAATTTTTGTCTCCCGCTTAGGTAAAAAGTAAACCATGCGCAGTTCAGGGGGGGGGGGGGGTCGGATTCCCATGACTGAATTTGTAGAATTATTAATTGTACACATGTATACTGAAGCAAATAAAATATGCCAATATGGATATAAAGGTTTGATTGCTTATTCTTTATTATGTGTATAGAAGATTCTTTTTTATAGGGAATATTTATCACACTGTAATGATAATTTTATGAGATTGTACAAGCCAGACCTCATACATTTTTCAGTTTACATGAATACTATCATTTAGTAAAAAAAAATATTTCGAAAAAAAAAACCAATTGATCGCCAGGGATGCAAACCCGGGCCCTCTCACATGTGAAGCGAGAGACATACCACTAGACTACGGAGCCGCTCTCAACTAGCAAAAATTATATGCTAACATGAAGTCACATACATGTATATATTCACGTCCGATATTGTCAAAATTTTACACAATGCATGATTCCTATTTTAACCTTTATTAAACAGTTCTAATAGATGTAATAAGAATATAAAGTCCACCGAGAAACTGTTTTATACGTAATAACTCTCCTCATGCCCCTGTGCTAAAAATAGCAACATGTAATACAATAAATACTAATAAAACAAATGGAGCGGGACACTTTGAGAGGGGTGAGAGAGGTCCTAGGGAGTTTTGGTATAACATTACATTGCAAAAGCTCAAAATCTTCTTGAAATATCGCCCGGTAATGATACTGTTTCATACAGACAGAATGTATAAATTTACGACCTTGAACTTTGACCTTTTGACCTCAAAATCAATAGGGGTCTTCATTAAGCCACAGGGAGTTGTTATGTAAAATTCCATTGCAAAAGCTCAAAGAGTTCTCGAGATATCGCGCGGAAACGAAAGTGTTGTAAAATAGAGAATTTGCGAATTTATGACCTTGACCTTTGACCTTTTGACCTCAAAATCAATAGGTTTCTTTTTAAGTCTATAGAGAGTTGCCATGCAAAATTTCATTGCCAAAGCTCAAAGGGTTCTTGATATATCGTGTGGAAATGAAAGCGTTACAGACAGACAGAAAGACGGACGGACGGACGGACAGACCCAAATTAATATCCCCCACTTTTCAAGCGGGGGACAAATAGCGGTTATATCGTTCCATCGTTATATAAACTCCTTTCTAATATTTTATCATCTTTTTACCCTGATCTCAGTTTGAATTCTTTCAATAGACGTTCATGAAAATTAAAATTTCGGTATAGATAATTTTTAAATTAATATCCGAGATTTTATTTATTTAACATTAAAAAACCATAAATAAATTGACGATTTACTTTCCAATTCACCATGGGAGATCAAACAGGCTTCCATAAAATATCAGAGGCGTGCTAATTATTAAATAAGATTCGTTAAAATAAATGTTGTTTAAATACACACAAAAAAACGTAATTTAAATTGGTTTTTAAGCATGGTTAGTGTTTGATATCTCCATATGTCACAAGCTTTAATGTAGCATAATGTCATACATGTGGAATGCAATTGGAATCGGTAGGAGAGTGACTGAAATGACACAGGTGATATTTATGGCACCCCGATTTCACAAAAATGAACTAAACAGAGTTTTGCATTTGATAAACTAGGTTTATCGACTGTAAACTATATGTGGAAACTATAGTTTAGAAATTGTGAACTATAATTAACAATTCGTTAACTATTTTTCATCGTCAAACTATATTTAGCAAAATCAACCTCGAACGTCTTTTTTAAAAATGTCTCTCGAACACTGGATAGGAAAAAATACGTGATGTTTATATTTTAGATTTTAATGTTTATTCAATAAATATCAAAGCGTAATTGATAATTAGAATATTTTAATTTTTAATGTTGTTTTATTCGTAAATCTGGCATTATATAATTTATAGAATGAAATAAAAGAGTGTATGTAGTTGTTTTGAAGCAAAAACGTAGCATGCTCGACCGAAAAAATTCAAGTGATATTGCTTTAAATTACAGAAAAAGTTGTCAAGAAAATCACTGCCGTTGGTTGCATTAAACAGGTGGTCGTTTAAGCGTTGGGGGAAATGTTTACGGTCACATGTGACAGTGAGTCACTTGAAACAGTGGGTAGCTATGGAAATTTTGACTGTAGATTAACGTTGTTAACTAAAGTTTATTGTCCGTAAACTATAGTATAAAACCGATAAACCTATTTATTGACTGTGCAACAATTTATAGCTCATTTTTGTTTGTTTGCGTTGCCATAGATATGTGTCGAAAGCGAGGCCTTGTCAACACGTCAATTGTTCTAGTGTTAATTATTGTGACCCTGAATACCATAGAAATAAATGTGATAAAGGTAATACTGGCCAGTCTAAAAATATTTGAAATATTCGACATTTCTTAAGTGACTAATTTTAATCCTTCACCTTAAAAAATCCACTTAATGTTCGACCAATGTCAGTAAAAGGAAAAATGTCGACGTCATAATCAATATACATCTAGTTGACTAGTTTCAAGATGAATAAATCATATATGTAAAAATCTGTTTTCTTACAGTTTTTTGAATTAATGTTTCATAAGTCAAATTGCAAAACTTGCTGAAATACCCATTTTAAAGTATGACTGACATTTATCACCTTAACTGTACTTGTAAATCTAGCTGTATTGATGGTTCAAACGGTCTGAATATAACTAAATTCGTATCTAAACCAATGAAATCCTCTTTGTTTGTTAGTTCGCAAATTAACGTTACAGCTGTTGCAAAACAATACATTACACTCATGAACGAGGATTAAAACGATAAATCATCGTGTTATTGATATGCATGTCCAAATCCGTTTCATTTTGGAACAACCACTGATCAAACAACTTCAGCTGATATGATAGTGTTGATAAACGTAAACGTTTTCCTTTAAAAACAAAGTTGTAAATATTCAGCGGATGTCAATATATAATGGTTTATAGATTGAATGAACTGATTGATTGCTTGATTTATTGTACTTTGTTTTACGTCCTTTTGGGATTACTTCACTCATATAAACACACCACCACTTGTCGGTGGAAAGCATATGCTTGGCACTCGGGGTCAATGAGCAGTGAGGGAATTTTCTGGTACCAGCATTTATGCCACACTGAACCTCTGTTTATACGTCCAACAGTGGGATTCGAACCCGCGACGTAAGGAACAACTCCTTACTTCTAGATTCTTGAGTGGAGGAATGTAATGGTTCAAGTATCACATGTACAGTGTATCATGTAACTTGATTTTTATTTAAAATATTATTTTCAGTTCAAGAGACCTGTAATTATTTTATAAGCTTTAATATTAACACAAACAAACTTTTTTCAGAAATCAGCATTATTTCTTGTTGTTTGAAATTGACAACCTGAATAATGTTTACCAAGTAGAGTGGGAGAATTTTATAAATTTTGTCATAAAGTTAATCAAATTGAAAATTTTGCATTTTATATAACGGCAAAATAAAATTGAAATCCTAACACCAAGGAAAACCTAAGATTTCTTTATATTTCAGGGATTTATTATTTATATCAATACAAATTAAAATCAGTCAAAAAATATATCAAACCGCGCATCCATTTTTTGTTTGTGGTAAGTACCCTTAATAGTAGCGCGATTTCCTTTTTTCTGAACGTGTATTTCTTGTTATGTAAAACAAAGAACAAGAAAGAAAGTAATTAAAAACTGCCTATTTAATCAAATTGAATCAGTTTTTTAACATTTGATAGAAAATACGTAGGAAAGGATTTTTTATTCATCTCAAAAGTCTTCCCTGTGCATCTTTTTTTTTTCCTTTGCGTATATTACAAACTCTTTACAATATTCAGGTGTACATTTATGGAATGGTCTACCGTTACATGTTAAATTATCACCATCTTTACTTGTTTTCAGAAAGAATTTGGAAAAAGTTATAATTAGCCAACGTCTGTAATTTTTATTATTATAGATGTCGTTATTAACAATGTCTTTTAAACTTTGTATATTGACTTATTTATTGTCCTATATTTTCATTAATTTGTATACTCTATCCGATTATGAAGTTATAATATGAGCATATCATTTTCATGTACATTGTATATATGTTTAATTGTACCATTTTATGTATATTGTTTGAATTGTAGAAGGCCCCGTCGTACTTTGTACTAATGCCATTTGAATAAATAAAATAAAGCATTATTTTATGATAATCAAAACAAGTCACTCTTTTTATATATTATCAGTTCATTTGACCTATCATTTTCAGTCGTTCCTTGTCAAACAAAATACTGCTAAGATGGAGATCTACACTGATTATTTTATCATTTTTTTCTGTTCTTTAAACATCTACATCACTGCAAATTTCTTGAATACAATTTAGCAAGACTTCTAAATATTTTGTTTACGGTGTGACCGTTATGGCGACATTTATCCATCTCCTAACGTGCCATTTGGTGGGTCTGGACTCTGACGTCACACGACGTCCTAAATTATGTCAATTACATTACCAAAAAAAAAAAGCCTGAAAAGCGTAGATTTTATGAGCGATGCATTATGGGTCTGGAGTTACTGAGGAAAATAAAATCTGAAAATGAATGTGCAGTACTTCGATTTTTCTCTTCGCCCAAACGTTGCTTTTAGAGCTCGCTGTTACGAGCTCACAGTAACTGTTTAGTCAGTTACACACTCTTTAGAAATAGTGTTAAAGGAGTATAATTGGAAAATGGGACGAATACTTCAGAACATCTCGTATTTGTTACTATTAGAATCACCCCTTACTCAATAGCCAGAAACTAAGTATATTGCTTTCTAAAAGATATAATACATTTCAGTACAGTAATTTTTCTAAGGTAAAAATTGATGATAAGTGTTGCAGTATTTAAAGATGTTCAAGTTCAGAATCAGCTATAAAATACGAAAGATTAATTTAAGCCGCACTTGAATCTATCTGAGTACTATCAAGGGTGGATCCATGGGAGTGTTTTATTTCAAGATAATCCATGCTAGAAGCATAATCCATGGAGTTATTTGTATATCCACCATCCTCTGTCTCACAAGTTTCGCTTTCTGCGCATGTAAGTTTATCAATCGTCAGTATTTTTCTACAATTGAACCTAGGTAAAAAAAAAAGGAGAAAATATATCATTTATAGCAATATTTAAAAAACCAATGATTTCTTCATTGTTAATATACACAGTATGTTATGTTGTTGTTATTCTGCACGTACCTTAAGTGAATGATGTAGATTATTAGGAGCACTAAAAGAACGCACAAGACTCCAATGACAACACGGAAAGCAAGATTGGTTTCATCACATGGTTTTACTGTTAAAATAAAATGCATAGATTGAAATTATTTAACATAATTTCTACACATTCTATGTGTTCTATCAATACAAATGACAAAGGAAACCAGATTCTTAATTGGAATCTAAAATGACTGCACATTTTAAATCTCACAATTTATAGTTAACAATAAATTTAACAATTGTTGGATTTCAGTTGTGAAGTGATGTTAAAAAATATTTCATGTCCGTTAAATTCTTTTCAACTTCCTGCAATAAATAAGTCATCATTCTAATGTAGTTTTAATAGTCTTTAAATTTAATATTTTAATTGTCCTGGATCGAGAATGAAGTCATACTGAATTTATCAGAGAACCAACGTCGTGTGACATCATATGTACTGAATGCGCTGAGCCTGTGCAAGATCCATTATGACGTCATAATTACTTGAGAGTTACTTTCTACCTTACATTAAACATTTTATACAAATTGTAAAAAATGAACCATTACAGAATACATGGAATTAAATTTGAAATCATGCCAAAATACTCTTAATACCTACATGTGTATTTTCAATTTACATACTTTTTGTCATAAAACTAAATTACCACATACATTTTTTTAACACAAGAAACTGGTAGGCATTATTCATTAACAAGATCTATATTATACGTTATATATCCGTATCCATCTTATAAGTGCCGTTAAAATAACTGACGATGTGTAAGCGTAGAAATTAGTTGCCATTCCAAGTTTTAAAGACTGCATTGCATTTCCTAACAAAGAAACATCAAAAGCGCTTTTAACAAACGGATAAGCGAGTGCTTATTTCAATTGTTGAGAAGTTTGAAAATCCGGTACATATTATCCGACATAGGTTCTACCTTACGATGAAAATGTAAATTTACAAGTTAGACAAGCTAGTTAAAATCATGGTCTTGATATTTTTTTTCGCATATGTAACTAATACATGTACATTGTAATAATGTGTCAAAATATTTCAGAAATACCATATACATCCTTTAGTGGGTTGATTAAATATGTAGTAAGGACTTGCGTTTCTTTTTATAATTTTTTTTTATTACTCGTTTTCATTTAATTGATTTGCGACAGGACGGAAAGTGCTCAAACATTTTATTTTCGTTTTTGACTCAAATTTATTATAAACTTGAATTTCTGATATGGTTTTAATATAAATGTAGCTCAAACTTGACTGAATTTGATCAAATCTTGGTAAGCAGGACAAATCTTTATTACATAACATCTTTTATAAACGTTAAAAAGCATGATTTCGGGGTTCTCCAAGTTTGAAAATTTAATCATGGAGGAAGCTTCGCGAATGCAAAATGTGAACAAAAACACGAATGCTTGTTAGACCTCCTAATCTTCATTAATCAATATTTGGTTTTATCATTTTTAAACTTAACGACTGCAACACAAAAAGAGGAAATAACCAACACTTTTCAAAGATAAAAAATAATGATTGAATTGAGAAGGATTATGTATCTTACTTCACAAATATAACAAATTTGCCCAAAACTTTAGTAACCTTTTGAAGGAATTTGAAGAAAAAAAAATTAATTCAGTATCCATGGTAATTTTTTTAAGAAACTAATAATTTTAGAAATTTCTCTTACACGTTGTATGAAACGTTTTGTTTAATTATGACTAAAACTAATGAATAGGTAGTTTTTTTTTTATATTTAAAACACAAAAAAACTTTTGGACCAGTGTCCTTTTTTCTAAACGTTCTATTTTTCTAGATATTGCATTTTCACCGAATTTACTCCTTTATTTACTTCTCCACGTGCCCTAAAAATAGCGCCACGCAACGTTCCATATTAACGCGAAGTAACTCTAAAACTAAGACGGCTATTCAGACCCAGAAGGATAATAAAGTTAAAATAAAAAAAAGCATGGGAAAATGATTAAATACGGAGGAATATGAACATTTCGAAAGGTTTTTATTATCTTCTGTAGTAAAGAAATTTGAATCGCATGCATGATGATTGTCATGCTCGGAATTGTCATCTTTGATAAACCCGTTATCTAATTATGTTGTAAACATGTTGAAGTCCCCTAAAATTATTTACGTGTGCACAGAATAAATAACTCTCAAAATATTAATCATCTGAACTGTTGATTGGATTTCCATTGTTACGCTTCAATGTATTAACAACTGTATTTGTTTAACACAGCCCGCTTTCCTACGAGGCATGCGAGGTACATGGTGGTTGATATATATAAACACAAATAACTACTCCAGTAATTAAATAAGCAAGTGGCAGGACTCAAATGCAACATCATTTAATCATGGCGGCTGCCGATTTTAACCAAGGTGCAGCTAGTTTAACAATGGCGCACATAAATTAAACAATGGCTGGCGATGGTAAAAATACCTTATGGAGAACCCTGGATTTACTTTTATACCTTCTGAGCAGTCCAGTCCCATCCATCCACTTCTGCAGCCATCTTTGCAGGCTCCTGTCACGTGATCACAAATACCTGACGTAAAACAGGACACGCTGCATGTTTTCTTACAGCCAGTTCCATACGTCCCATTTACGCAAACTATTAAAAATAAAATTAGAAATATTAAAACAAATGTATTTTTTTTGGTCTTGGAGGATTTAAAGAATATAAAAGCTTACTGAGATTAATTACTATGTTTGATTCAATGGTGCTACCTTTTTTTGCATCATGATGTTGCAGGACATCAAAGAGAAGCGACAGGCGTAAGCAACTATGGCAAATTGTAGCAAACAAACAAAAACAATTAAACGAAGCTAGAAATAGATCAAAACGTTTCTGAGATTATGAGCTTATTTGTCAGATATCAAATAATTGTTATTTAGACTAAGTAAATGTCCGTAAATAGCCTTCCAGGTAGAATTTATCATACTTCACAAAACAGTTCATAGTAATAAGGAATCATCCTATCAATATTTTTAAAGAAAGAGTCTGCTTTTCACGACTTATATTAATACCTACAATTCAATGTTAACTGTATAAATTGCAGTTAGGGAAAAACATTGAATTGCAGAGATGATAAAAGCTAGTCTGTAAAGCTACAATAAAATGTAAAACATAAAATGCACTAGTGTTTTCATATTTAAGAGTACAGTTTTATTTAAGGACAGCAAAATTACGAGATACTTAAATTATTGTATATACAATCTGTTCATATTCTGTGACGTATGAATAATCACATGTGATCTGTTTTTTTTTTTCTGTATTCCAACACTGTCGATTATGTACATTTGTATGAAAGGTAGTGTTAAATGGGTATTAAACATTTAAAATTATTGAGGGAATATCAATATTGTTAGGGACAGCAAATCACCATTTCTTTCCAAAATGATTTATAAGAGGAGTCTATATAAACCTTTGCACACGCTTTTTCTTTAGTTTTTACAGTATAAAATAGCTGAAATTGTGTATTTCATTGTTGTTATTATGTGTTACACATACATAAAGTTATTTCAACTAGTACGATACAACGAGAAAATAGATTTTCCAAGCTCTATAAAAGTGATGACTTAACTTTTTTGTCGTCAACTTCAAATATTTATGCAGCAATATAATATACCTTTACAGGGTTCTCCACATTAAAAAAAATAACCATGGAGGAAGCTACGTGAAGACGAGATGTGGCCGAAAAAAATAAATGCATCTTAGACTACCTAATCTTCATAAATCAATGATTGGTTTTACAATTTTTAATCTTGCCCATATCTTCCAACACAAAGCGATGAAATAACTAACACTTTTTAAAGGTAAAAAAAAATAATTTGCCCAAAACTGTGGTAACCTTCTGAGGGATTTTTTTACAGAAAAAAAAATGTTGATAGAGGTAGACAGTAACCATGGCATTAGATCATTGATAATCATAAGAATTGTAGACAGTTGTATGAAATGTTTTGTTTCAATATTACTAAAACTGATGAATGGATGGCATTTTTTAAGTTAACACACAAAACAATATCTGGACCAGTGTACTTATATTTTAAACGTTTTATTTTTCTAGATATTGCATTAACTACCCAGTTTTGTTTACTTCTCTAGGTACACGCGACCTTTCATAACAACGGGAAGTAACTCTAAAACTAAGACGGCGACTAAGACGCAGGCCCTATGGAGATAATAAGGTTAAAGCTTAAGAAACAGAGCATGGAAAATTGATTTAATACAGAGGAATATAAATTTTTTGCAGAGTATTTTTTTCTGGCATAGAAACATTAATTGCAAGCATAACGATTATTGTGCTCGTTATACCGTACCGATATTGTAATCTTTTATAAACCTTTCATATCTAATAATGTGGTGAATATGTTGAAGTTACCCCAAATCATTTAAATGGGTACAGGATAATTAACTCTCAATATATTGATCATCTGATTGACTCTCCATTGATTGTCACACTTCATGGCATAGTAGCTGATTAACGACGTGTTTGTTTAGCAGAGACCGCTTTCCTTCGAGGCATGCCAGGTGCACGCCAGTATTAGTATAAATACAATTAACTTCTCAAGTCATTAAAAAAAGTAGGTGTCAGAACTGAAATGCAATACAATTTAATCATGGCGGATGCCGATTTTAACCATGGTGCAGCTTGCTTAACCTTGTCGCACATAAATTTAACCATGATCCCATCTCTGATGCTTTTGAGGTCCTTGTTTGTTCTGCTCCTATTTAGTATTGTTTTATGGATTTTTGATGTTGAATACTGTTTGTCTTATTTGTTTCATCCATACAAAATGAGCCTAAATTCAAAACACATTATAAGGAATAATGATTATCGTCGCCTGTGTGGCGCAGTGGTTAGAGCGTCTCCTGTAGAGTCGCTAAGAAAAGAGTTGATTCTTACGTCGAGGATTCGATTCACACTGTGGGACGTGAAGACAGGTCGTTCGGATAAGACCATCTTACCGAGGTCCCGTAACGCAGTAGGTGTTGGCACGAAAAAGATCCCTTCCTGCTCAAAGGCCTGCTCAACGTAAATTCCAAGTATAGGACAAAATTCCCAGCAGCTCTCCACCGCCAAGTGGTTTTGTCTTCATTTGAGTGAAAAATTCTAGAGAGAGACGTTTACAACATACAAATAATTTATAAATTAGTATTATCATTCAAAAACTACATTTCAAATAATAGGTGTACCTTGATTACATGCATCTCCAATATAACCAGAGTCACACCCAAGATGACAAGTTCCATTTATATGATGACATTGAGTTCCATCTCGGCAATGTCCACACTGTCCACTACAATCCTGCCCGAACTTTTCAGAATCACATTCTACAAATTCACGATGTATATAAATAATAATGCTCTCTCCCTCTTCCCCCCTCTCTACTCTGCCCTTCTTTCCATTTCTCTCTTTAATTTCAATTATCAAGTTCTTTGAACGCTTTAGAGATATCAGATAGGAGAAATAACACTGTAGAAACATACTACAACAAAATTAAATTGATGCCTTTGATGAAAACTGTATACGATAGAAACAGAAGGATAATGGACAGACAGGGCCAGAACCAATACAGGGTACCTGATTCACATTTGAGTCCCTTCCAACCTGTTTTACAACCACCCTGGCATGAACCAGATTTCTGGTCACATCTGTTGGAATTCAGACAGTTTTTGCTGCAACTCCTTTTACAATCCAAACCATACAGTCCTATCGGGCACGCTTTACAAAAGAAAAATTGCTTAGTTCATTATAGGTACATGTAGCGTACTAGATTAGATTAATGATGTATCATTTTGAATACACAGTGGTGAAACACTTTAGTTTAACCAAAAGCATTTATGAATTTATTTGCTAATTATATTTTTCGAATGACATTTTATGGAATTTTAAAAAAAAATTCTGTACTGAATTTTTTCATTGTATATGAATATTCTTAATCAATGAACTTCATTAATGACATCGAAATTAACATTCTCACTCAACAAATAAACTTTAAAAATATGAATCTTATTAATTCTGAAAAATAAAATTATCACATTCTTCATCAAAGGAGAAATGGTCAATACGTTATGTTCTTTAATTAATAGATTTTATGAAAATATCATATTTATGGTTTATTATTGCAACACCTACTTTTACACAAATAAAGAAGAAAAATATATAATGTTAAAACAAGAAAAAAAAATTACGCTGAACACATTTTTCTCCGTAGAATCCAAGATCACAACCATTCAAACAAGACCCGTTAACATGGTGACATTGTTCAAAGTTCAGACAATCCCCACAGTGACTCGTGCAGTTTACACCGTAATACCTTCCATCACATTCTAAAGGGAATAAATTAAGTTTTGAAAATGTATATCAATTTATATGTATTTATTATTCAATATAGTCATACCATCCATATGCAACATACCTAAAAAAAGTGTGTGTAACAAAGTAAGTTTTACAAATTACTCTTTGATAATTAAGTAATTGAGTTTTTAGGCCAAAAATACGTTATATGCATTTGGAGCTTAAAATTGAATTTAAAGAAAAAAAAATAACCCGTCTTTCGAATAATTCAATTGGATTATTGACTAACGAGAACAAATATTTTGACGTTTCTATTTCGAATGCTTCAAAAATCTGAATTGCATGCAATAATGTATTAGTACAGTGTAAATTACCATATTCACATTCCTTTCCTTTATAACCAGGTTCACAGCCATTACAAGCTCCAGTATTGATGTGACAAGAGCGAAAAAGACAGGTGCTTGAACATTCGATGGAACAGTTTGGTCCATAATAACCCTTTTCACGGCATCCTTTCAATAATTGTTTGATTATTCATAATAGTACTTACATAAACTTTACAAATAATTTGCACTGAATCATTTATATTATACTTGTCTTAAAAAGGAACATACCAAATACCTCCACTTCACATAATTCGTTGAATGCATATTGGGAAAATTGACTGGCATATTTTGAACTACTTTGTGGTCTCTCGTTAAAATAAATGACATATTGCCCATATACAGGACAGGTTATATTGACGACAGCTGGAATTGTAGACCTGTTGTAGTTTTTGTCATGGAAACACAAATGTCCATCAAGTCTGTTGGTTGTTTTCGATATATAAACAAAAAATCCCATAAATCTAGATGTATAGTCATTGGAAGCATCTGAAATGTAAAACCCCATTCAATTAATACAAATATGAAATGGTAATATGCAGTGGAATATATGACTTCATAAAGTTATTCAATGATGTACATTCTAAATTGATAAAAAGGGCTTAAAATTTTAAGCATCTCTCTGGCAAGAAACATAAATGTTCAAATAATTATACATTGTATATCTTGTGAAAAAAAGGAAACTAAAGAAAGTCAGGTCATTTCAAGTATCAGCATACCAAGTTCATGCAAAAACTCCAAAATTGATTTCACGCAGGTATGTTAAGCATAAAATTAATTTCTCGGAAAATTTAGACTTTTTTTAGAAAATTAATTTTGATGATTAACGAAGACCGCTGATTAACGTAGACTATTTATATAATAGTGTTGTGTTTTGCGTGCACTATGCCTAAATAGTATTCAGGGTTTGACGCATGATGCACGAGCCGGAGGCGAGTGCACTATGTATCAAATCCTGACAACTATTTAGGCGTAGTGCACGCAAAACACAACACTATTGTTGTTATTATGCTGACTGTTGTATAAAAATGACTATATTTTCTCCATTTCCAATGTTTCATCAACTCTCACATCCATGTAAGTACAGCCCTATTATGACGTCTTGTTATGCTACATATACATGTACGTCATAATCTGTTTTCTTTTCTTTTATTTTAAATATTCCAAGTATTATGTATAATGAACACATAGTTTTAGAGAAGTATAGTTGAGTGAAGGGGGCAAAATTGCCAGAAACTAGTTTAGAGCAATGCAATTATTTTGTTTATTTTTCACTTTATTGGTAAAATATTTGAAACTAAGTTTATGTATAGTATAGTACAGTTATAAAGATAACGGCGTCTGCGGCGTAATCGGTTGCGCGTCAGACTGAAAATCTCGAGGTCGTGAGTTCTATCCCCGGCGTGGACGTGGTCGGATTTTGTTCGAAAAATGAAGCCGTGCACTATTTCGGCATACGCTATATAAATCCTCAGAACACCGTGCGAGAAAAGAAGGGTATGGGTTATCTAGAGACAAACTGACAATATAATAATATTAATTAGTATACCTCTACTGATTTTTTACTATAAAAAAAAGTAAATCGATATATTTTGCTGATTTCCTGAAAACCATCGTGAATAAACCGATTCCCTGCAAAACAGACTGATTCCCTGCAAAAAAAGTACGTTTTTTTGATGAACTGATACACACCTATTCGGAACACTTAGCATTTTCTTTCAACCTACGACAAACTTAAAAATCTTCCGAGTAAACTCATGAATATTCATTAACGAATCGAAATGCATCGCGAGTCAACTGGTCCCATATCAGTCAAAAAGAACCAGTTTACTGGAAGCGAACGACAACAGAAATGGCGAGCTTAAGATGTGCGTAATGTTACTTTCGATTTTACTAAGTAAAATCTCGGACAATGAACTGATTTATTGATAAAATGGAATTTCTTTCATGACTGTATTCTGTTTTGTCGTATTTTTTATCTATTCCTGTTGGAATTAAACATTGTTACAGAATACAGTTTTTCAAATGTCTTGTTTGTATCGGTATAATAAAACAGTTAAAGTATATAATTTCGGGAGTCGGCAAGATTCCAGTTCCCCAAGAGCAAGTCTATTTCACGAGGCGCTTGCGCCGAGGAAAATAGGCTTGCTCGAGGGGAACTGGAATCTTGCTGACTCCCTCAATGATATACTTTAACTGTATAATATTGCATAAAGATAAAAGAGTGTCTAACGCAAAGACATGCGCCGCCATCACGGCATCACATAACTTTTATTAATAGCGAAATGTTCTTTAATAAGAAAAAAAGCTAACAGAACAACAATACCCTGGAGTTTAAAAATTCTTTTGAGTAAATAATATAGTCGAAAAACATATATTTTGCTTAAAAGTGCTGCTAGAATCCCACTGTCCTGACGGTAAAATAATCATTATATGCTTTCGCAAGAAACCTTACCCGATGTTTTGAATTTTATACTTATGATCCGATATTTTTCTTACAACCATGCTTTACTCGGGATTCTAACAGGACTTTCCAAGTACTTTAGAAGGCAAACTTTCCATCTGTACAAATCTCATGTTTTGAAATATCCAGCTTATTGTTGTTCGTTTGCATTATTTTTGTTACGAATTACAGAGGAAAGAACAAACGGGAAAGGTATATAGCTGCTGCCTTCGAAAGAGAATATAATCGATGAAAATAAATGAGGATAAATGTTTAATTAACTGAACTACATATGAATTTCAAACAATATCCACGATATTTTGATTTAAGCTCGATTTAACGTATCTTTGTACATGCCGTCTTCGCCAAATTCTCTTTACACGACATGATCAATTCCAGAGTTACTTGAAGTATACATATGACGTCATCGGTGGTAGATTTAAATCAAAATGACAGATACAGCATAACAAAATAAACATATTTTATTTTTTTTGTTAATGTTTACACGTTTCTATTCATTTTCTAGAGTTAAATTACATCTCTAAATACCGATATTATGAAAACTTGTATTCAAAAATTGACATCATCTCGCCTATTATGACGTCATTATGTATCACTAATTTAGTCAAGGTAGAATATTCTGTATGCTTCCTTATCACCACTGCGTAGAGCGGTTGAAACAAGATTGCATGTCTTATTATTTCGTGTCGGTCATACGCCACAGTCAAATTTGAAAAGATGTACATCTCTGAATATGTTTGAGTGTTAATATGAAGATTTAGGTACATCTACGAGTAATATAAGTACTGTAAGTAATTTTAAGATAATAAACGTAGAAATTAGTTTATGAATTAAAAATTGTTCAGTAAGAAGGATATGAAGATACCAAATAGTTTTCAATCTCAAAGTCCATAAAACATACAAAATAAGAGCAGAGAAAACACGGACCCCCGAAACATCAGGTGGGATCAGGTGCCATGGAGGAGTGAGCATCCCCTGCCGATCTGTCACACCCACAGTGTGCTCCTTGTCATCATCAGGATATAACGGAAAAATTCGTCATCAATTCAGTGTATGAATAATGGACTAACAATTGGTATGAAAAACATCAGTCAGCATTTGACTCAATGATAAATTGTATTTGCTGACAAGGTCATTGTATCGACCATAGAACTTACGAAATGATGATTTTAAACGAGACTGCTGATATTCTTGTTTCGTCAACTTGCTTGTCAATAATTTACCTCGTTTTAGAAATTGTTCATACGTAGAGCATGCTCTTACGTATCGAATCAACTGAGATATATACGAGGGGCGTTCAATAAATAATGTCATTAGCTCGATGACATACAACATAGTAGTCATATGAAATAAACCTTGACTTTCTCTCGTTATTGAATCTTTAATGAATTGATAACAGTTTGTGTGACCACTTTTCATAGTATTTTTTCATCGTGGGAAGCTGGAAAACAAGGGCTATTCGAGACACTGCATTAAAAATGAATGGTCAAGAATCAGTAGACTAGAGTAAAATTAAATGCTTCATTAAATCAGCTGTAAAACTTGTTAATATCCCAAAAATATATTAACTGAAATATGTGAAATTTACAGCAACAAATGCCTGTTTTATAGATATGTGAACAAGTAGATTTCAATAAACAAAAATTATATAATGGGTATCAAAAATGGGCACCGTCCTTGGCAACAATGACTTACAACAACCGATGTAAATTTGCAAAATTTCAAGAAATTATCACTGATTATGTTTTATTGACTTTTAGACACATAGCAAAATTTATAAAAATCATTTTGGGGATAGTTCATACTGTTTTAAAGAAACATTTTATAGTAAAAAAGTTTAATACTCAAAGGTCACCCTATATTTTGAAAAATGAGTGAAAACTACAGCATGTAGGTATATCCAAACAATTATTTAAAAAAATCAAAAATTGCACTTATCCACTTTTGTATAAAATTCTAACAGATAATGAAACTTGAATTCATTTTGCTTCAAGCCCACAAAACAAATTTACAATAAGATGCACTTGACAAAACTACAAAGGCCTAAGAAGAGCAAAGAATTGCATCATAATAAAACCGTTTTATATGCTATTTTCTTAAATATTAGCGGTCTTGTTGCTCAAATTCATATTCTGTGAGGAAGGTCAATTTATGGAGGAGTCTAGAAAACGATTTTTTTGTAAAACAATGAAAGGTTTATGAGAGAAAAGAAACAGAATGAGGAATTCACTACATTAAGTGTCTTCATGATGGCGTCCAAACCTACAGGCCATGAAGAGTAAAGGAGTTTTGGGGATAAAAAGGAAGTTAATGTTTTGTCACACCAACAAAATTTGCCAGATCTTTCAATCTTTGACTTGTTTCATTTCCTAAACTTAGAAAAACATCTACCAGAAAGAAAAAAAAACAAGTACAACAAATCATAGGATCTGCCGTATTCCAGTATACGAAGGGAAATACTCAAAAATGTGTTCAAAAAACAATTAGAAATTGAATGAAAATGTTACGGATATGTGCTTTAATTGAAAGATAATATTTTAGCTAAATCATCAAGACAAAGTCATAGAAAAGCGTTTTTTGTTTCTTTCCGAGCCCCAATGACATTATTTATTGAACGACCCTCGTATACTCCGTATGCAGGTGATGAAGGTATACTGCTGCATAAGTAAGGGAAGTTGACGATAGAAAAGTTAAAGACATCACGTTTATCATATAGCTTGGTTGTTAAATTACCATCAGTGTCTTTTTTCAAGTAAAATATCCAAGGATGAAACAGAAGTGTCGGACTCTGTGGTTTCTTTTATCTCAAGCTCACCAGGATATATCGAACAGAATAATGAACTATTTTACAACATTTATATTTTAGAAAATTGAACTATTTTTAAACCTTTACATTTTAAAGACTTTACTAATCTAAGTCACATTTTTTTTTTTTTTTAATGAACCTTTTACAAGGAATTGAAATGCAAATTACTCCAAATTAAAATCTTTTTTTTTTTTTTGCTTAAAACTATACATAACTGTTAATAAAATAATTCTCACCCCAGGCGATGTTGTCTGTTCTGTAGTATATCCTTATATCATGAATACTGAAAACTGAGGTCAGATTTACCCACCACGTGGCACTTCCTTGACCGTTACCAGATATGACACACTGACCACCGAGAGAACTTAAGTCAGATTTAAGTCCATCAACAGCATTACTAGATTCAAATCTGCTGTCTCCTCGAATATAGGGATTTGATTGCCATGTTGGTTTAAGCAAAGCTAGGTTTTCTACGAAAGCAAAAACAAAATTAGTGTATCGCAATTATCCTTTGACTCCCAATACCTATACATGTATACAAAGGTGTGAAATTAAAAAATATATTATTTACAATTCGAATACGTGTAGTATCATAATGATAAAACTTGGGATGAATAATTTTAAAAAGGTTTACTGTGTGAAACCCATTTTACACTATCAAAATAAATATAATGTATTTTTGAGACGATTAAATCGGTCATCAATTCTTGCAAATCCATAGAACTACAAAGATTAAGGCTTCATATTAAATGAAGATCAGATAAACGCATGTTAATCGGAACTCCAATTTGAATTGCGACATTTTGAAAAAAAAAATCTTAAATAAGGTCGTATGCTATATATAGATTAGAGGACATTGTGTTGGAAATACAACAAAAGCTTTTATTTGACGCTCTTTTAGAGCTTCAAAGAAAGTCAGGATTAAAATTAATCAAATAATTGAACCTTTGATTTAAATAAAATAATCCTTACCGTATCCTAGACAATTTTGAGCGATGGCTATGAAACAAAATGGAATGAGCATAATCGGTTAATTATTGTCCTTAACAAGGAAGTAAAATTATAACGAGGTAAAGAACTTATACATAAAGTACAAGAGGGATTTTAAATTTGCATTGTAATATGAGACATCTAATGTATTGACAAATTTATCTAAAGTTGTTCAAAGTTTCTAAAAAATATGCTTTCAAGCGTTTTGTATATATTTAGAGATTTCAAAATAACAAAAATAATACTTTAAACAAACTTATAATGAACTGAAACTAAAAGTGGGATACGTTTCATTCCATTGACTTTCAAATATATCAGGAGACTAAAGAATATAACAAGATCTGCTAAAAACGAAACAAGATTTTTTTCGTTTAGCAGTGCATTATCAATTAGTGTCGATCTTTTTATAATTATAAAATGTTACGTGGGTAGTTGTTTATGAGTAGAAATAAAATTACAACGAGAGGTCTATTGGCCAAATCACACACTTGCACACCAGACTTTCTCCATAAAACAAACTGTTGCCTTGTACTAAACTCGGGGGGTCCTGATTTGACCACTTAAGTATCTACAATTCATTCGGAAAGTGCCACATAACATTGAGCTTTTCTGGCGCAGTGCTTTTAGAGATTTTTCTTGTAAAACTTGTGTCCCTCATTGTTGCCCAAATCTACCCCCGGGGTCATGTGTTGAACAATCTATAATCTTCAATACACGAGGTTGATTCAACAGAAGTTAAAGTTTTTCTGGTTCAGTAGTTCTGGAAAAGATTTTTAAGGGGTCTTTCTTTTTTTTGTCTTTTCTTATTTATCAATAGATTTTTGTCTTGTCTTATTTTTCCCTATTTGTACATGTAACATGACTTTTCCCTTCTCGTTAGCAATTTAAGAGACATTCTCTGTAATGATTTGAAATTTTATATAGGAGCTGTGGCACGCATAGTCTCAGAATTTCTCCAAACTCTCTATAATAAAAGTCAATGATACCCTACACTGAAATCAGTCAAAAATTGGTTGCTCTGTTTCATTGTTACCATGCATGGCACCATGTCTTAAAGTTCGAAAAATTGCATTTTTTAACATGTTTAGAGCCCAATTAGTTAACATTTGCGGCAAAGCAAACAATTGGCAATGACTGTTTCCAAAAGGTGAAGGTCAGATGTCTCAAATGCATGATAAACAAGTTTGGTAAATCAACTATTACATATGTTACTATATATGGTAAAAACGTATTCAAAAGTAAAAATAAAAAAAATACATTGAAAATTTATAAAGTCATACACGTAAAAATGAAAAGCAATTATAGGATGAAATGTGATTAAATGATAGAAAAAAGAGCCTTGAAACATATACCAAAAACAAAATATGGTATTTCATTTCGGTTGGCAATGGTTGCCAAGGTTTTTATACCACAGAGAACCTTCAAAGTAACAATCTGTATGTTTAAATCTGATCCTATCTTTTAAAAAAGTACATTTCCTCATAACTAATGATCAATTTTATAAGATGCTGGTGTGCTCCAAGTTTTCCCATTTGAAAAAAAATCAGATTAGATTCTTTAAATAGAGCGTTGCTGTGGAAATAAGCAAAAAATATATGCTTAAAAACCTGAAAAATATTTTCTTTCCTTGGATACGTACCCTTAGATTTCCATAACTTTTATGATTGATATTTATTAACAGTTAACTTGACTTTTAATTTTGACTATCATCCAATCTCTAAGTGGATGCAAGAAGTTGGCGCACAGGGTTTAATATTGATATAAAGTTCACAAAATCGAACATTTTCGACTCTTGGTAACCATAGCAACAGTGTTGTTTTACTTGGTAACCATAGCAACAGTGTTGTTTTATTCATCAAATTTTATCAATATATGATATTCAACTTCAGTTGTAACAGATAAGTGCTATTTAAGCCGAGTCCTTTAATTTGTTTCTTGATTAAATGACAATTTAATTCTTAATGCAGCGAAAAATAATTCACTTTTAAGCACTGGTACTTTGTTTCCATGTTAACACTGCAAAGTAGCAATTATACCCAATTTTTCTTATGGTTTTGGTGTTGCAAGGTCCTAAGGATGCATATTTGCCAGTCTTGAATTTTCATGTATTTCCTCAAGACAGTAGCAGTAACCCAATCTTAGTTACTGATTTTGCATGGTAACACTGTGTTACTATGGCAACCATAAAAGTTATTTACAGAATGATATTGCTTATACTTATAAACTTAAGGTCAAACATTTTCATTGTTTTTCTTAAGTCGCGATCGTTGATTGAGTTTGAGCATGTAACACCTACCATTAGTGAATACGGAGTGTTTTTCAGCATATTTCAGCATTTTAAATGTATTCCAAATGTACCCTTGGTTACCACTTCCTAAGAGATATATTCTAAACAGTTTCTTTACAGTATAAGTGACATCAAGGTGTCATGTTTTTGTTAGAATGGTTTGTTTGCTTTTTCTAGTTTTTATTGAGCCACAGTCAAGATTTAAAGTAGCTGAAAATCTCCATTTTTCACACTTTTCCGGCTGTTGCCATAGCAACCGAGACACATAGCAACGAATTTTTGTTCGATATTTGTTTCTGGTGTCAAGTACTAAGCATGAGTGAAGTTTCATCAAAATCGGTGACCATGCGTGACAACGAAGTTTAAGTGGTTACAGAGATTGGCTATTAAATTCCCTTTTTACCATAGGATACTCTGCATTTAGTTTGGATAAAATTGGCTCATTGGTTCTTGGTGAGAATTTAAAAATGTAAAAGTTTAAAGATGGATGCATGACAGATAACGAGTGATCAGAAAAATATCACTTAAGCTTTGAGTTCAGATGAGATAAACAGATACATTAGGGGGTTTTTGTATGAGATTCAATAAATGCCTACATTTAGAAAAAAAAATCAGAAAAATCACACAGGCCGATTTACACCATTTTGCATGTCCCCCAAAAAATTACCCAGTTTGGTATATTTTTTCTTAAGTTTATTTTACACTTTTAGCAACAAGCTTACATATTCTGATTTTTTTCATATGTAAACCTTTATGTGTTATTTGAAATTATATTAAAGTATTAACTGATATTTACCAAATTCATTCAGGAGAAAAAAATTCTAAGAATCATCTACTTTTCTAAACCTAATATTGAGTCTCCTCCAAAGTAAAAAAAAAATGCATCATCGGTCCATAAAGTTTAACATGTTAAGAACGATTGAGATGAATGGACTTTCCTAGCAAAGTGTTTTTTTTTTTCATTCCTATGACATTTTTTATTTATTATTTTGTGTTAAAATTTGATAGATACTTTCTTAAACTGATTAAAAATTTAGTTTAAAGAAGCACATTTGATAAGAAAAAAAATATCCATTTTAATTTCACAGAACAGGAATCATTATGAACAAAACAATATATTTCAAAACTCTATGATATCAGGAAAAATATTTGACAACAATTATGATCGAATGAAATATATTCTGTTTAAAAGAATTAGATTTGCAAAGCTGAAAAAAACACGTGCGTTTGTGCTATCTATCTAAGAATCAAAACTAGAATTTCATTCCTAGACTTTCAACAAGTTTTCCAAATATGTAAAAAAGATAGCATTCGATATATAACAATTCAGCATAAGAACGACACAAACATAGTTTATAGTTGCCAACAATTAATGAGAAAAGAAATGAGAACGATTTACCTCCAGCGCATTTGTCAACATTCCTGTAACAGCAATTTATCAGTGAGGAGCATGTCTTACTTCAGAGTAATGAACTTTCTCAGAGCAAACACTTGAATGACAAATTAGTCGGGCACTTGAAAATAACAAGGAGGCGACAATGATTTACTACATGAAAAAAGAAAGTTGGCGATAGACAAGCTGAAATAATCTCTTTGGTCAACTTCCGGTGTTTTATATATGCAGAAATATACCTTCATCACCTGTATACATCGTTCATATATCTTAGTGGATTCGATACGCAACAGCAAACTCTATTTATCAACAATTTTTAAAACGAGATAAATTATTGACAAACAAGTTGATGAAACAAGAATATCAGCAGTCTTCGTAAGTTCTTTGGTGGATACAATGACCTTGTCAACAAATACAATTTATCACTGAGTCAAATGCTGACTGACGCTTTATGCTAATTGTTAGTCCATCATTAATACGCTGAATTGAAGATGGATTCTTTTGTTATTTCCCGATCAAGGCAAGAAGCACAAGAAGCGGGTTTGACCGGTCAGCAGGGGATGCTCACTCATCCATGTCACCTGATCCAATTTTTGATGTTTTGGAAGTTCGGGTTTGCCCTGCTCCTATTTTGTATTGTTTAATGGACTTTGAGATTTAATACTATCTGTTATCAATTTATCCTTCATTAGTTCTTACATGTGTTTGTGTTTGACTAGAGCAATAAGATATCAATGCAAAATGACTTTGAAACTGATTTGTACTGAAAAAAATACTGTATTGCGGGTAATTTTAGCGGGGTGCTATTTGGCTTATTTTGGCGTTTTGATGATTGTCCGCTAAATTTAAACCGTTAAAATAGTCAGTACTCTTCTGCATCCGCTAAAATAAATTACGCCAAAATTATTGGCATACCTTTTAGCCGGCAAAACGCCAAATTTTACACCCGCCAAAAAAACCCGCTATACGGTATAAAGTCCTGCTAAGTACATAATACTATCTCATAATGGGCAGATGCATGTATATTATAAGTTATTTATAAGCTTTTTACAATTGTAAGAAAGACATATGTTCACCCTATGTATGCATGTCCTCTAAGAAGTCATAGGTTTCATGCATCCTCTTTGAAGCTTTTATTCTTTTTTTACCAAATTGGACAAATTGTCAATATATTTCAAGTGTTCCAAGACGAATTTATCATGCCATTTTAATTTTGAAATATTATTTACACTATCATTTAAATCTTGCTAATTAAACGCTTTATAAGGGAAACATTGTGCCACATACATGTATTAACAATTTACATTATTTTTGTAAAGATCCATTCTATTATCTTTCATTTTTTATATATTCC